AGTGTTACTCCATGAACTCAGGGTAATAAAAGGATGCCTTCTAAGCTTTCTTACTTAGAATAAAGAAAAACTGGATCTCACCTTTTAGCACAGATTGTTAAATTAGAATTTATATGCATTTTTTAACATAGACTTACACTGAGAAATGAAATGCAGGTGGGCGATGTCTGCAATTTCAGAGCTTTTAGGCCCTGGACCTGAAACAGGAAGCAAGCTCTACCTCTGGTGTTACCTGCAGAAATCACAGTAAAACAGCAAGAATCAATGCTTGAATCAATGGAAATGCTTTAAAGAATGGTAGGATCCCTGCTATCCAATGTGATTGGAATAGGTAGCTGTTTGCATAAAGGAAATGGCATGACTTAGCTGAGTCAACTTTCACAAAGTTTGTGGAAACATTCCGCTATGTTTTAATTCCATTTTTCTATGAACTTTTTAAAGCCTCCTGGTGTGGCTTAATGCGCCAGACTCCAAAGCCGTTTGAACTGCAAGGGTGGCGGTTCAAGCTCACCGGCTGCTCCTTGGAAACCCTATACAGGGTTGCTATGGGTTGGAATCAACTCGACGGCACTTAACAACAACAACATATAATTAAGCAACCAGCATCTGATGTCTTCTGGTGGGAATCCCTTCTTGTTGTTTTTTTTTTTTTTACTGCATAATACAGTGGAACCATAATACATTGACTAATTTTTCCTGATTTATCCTCTTTAAAGTAGAATGAGCATTTAGTGATCTGAATCCAGGATAGCAGATTTTTACATTTTTAATTGACCTTTAAGAGTTGTCTTACCAATTCCTTTTTTGATGATGTAATTATTTAATTTTTTGCTACATGTCACAGATTATTAGTTTTGGGTTTTTGTTGTGTTGTTGTTTAATAAACATTGAACTTAATTTTCTTAGTAAAAATATCACCCTCATTCTTCATCAGTTTATGTTACAATAAAGTCACAAATTTTGCACAGCAAGTACGGTTGGCCTAGAGAGGTTTGGGAATAAACACAGTGACTTGGATAAGCACACATCTGACCTGGATGGGCGTGCCTGACAAAGCCTACCTTCCACAGACATTCTCTGCTGCCAGGGCATTCGTCAGCATTTGCTACAGAGACTGGAAAACACTGATCAAGCTAGGGGTTAATTAAGGGACTCTGATTAAGAGAGTTTCTACTGTAAATACATGTTCATTAATATGCATAGGTGCTAGCTCCTGAAGAGTATTTTTCTAAAGTGTTTTCGAGTACAGGTCCTGTAGAACTTGTCTTAATGAACAACCAAAGCTCACGTATAATCAGCAGAATCTGTCTGCACACATAATTGGTGTGCCAAAGTGCTTTTCCCCGGCAATCTTGTTTATACCCTGGTACTATAATTAGTTTGTTTATCAGACATTATCTTTCCTAAGATGGGAAGAGATAATGTTTTGGTCCACTCCTCATTAAATTATCACAATTTTTAAATTAGTGATTTGGAGACTTAATGAGACACTGTTCCATTTATATATGCCAAAGATCTTAAATACCTCTATCAGTGTTTTAAGTTCAGTTTGTTCTTCCTTGAAATATTTGTTGTTGTTGTTGTTAAGTACTGCCAAGTCAGTGCTGACTTATAGTGACCCGGTATAGGGTTTCCAAGGAGCAGCTGGTGAGCTCGAACTGCCGACCTTGCAGTATCTAGCGCATTAATCCATAGCGCCACATTAGGAACAATGAAATATGATATGCTAAGGCTAATTTGAAAAGGAAAACAGATATCAGAACTGTTAATAATAAATTGATAGATTTATAAAAATTCCAAGCTAACAGACAGAACAAGAATCTATGCCTATATGTATCTATATATGGAGTCCTAGTATGACGCTATAGGATAAGCACTGAACCACAAAGTTGTTGTTGTTGTTAGGTGCCATCAAGTCAGCACCGACTCACAGTTACCTTATGTACAGCAGAATGAAACAATGTCCGATCCTGGGCCAACCTCACTACTGTTGCCATACTTGAGTCCATCGATGCTCCCACCTTGGCCAGTCCATCTCGTTGGGGTCTTCCTCTTTTTCTCTGACCCTCCATCTTACCAAACATGATATCCTTCTCCAGCGACTGTCTCCTCCTGACAATATGTCCAAAATATGAGAGACGAAGTTTGACCATCTTGGCCTCTAAGGAGCACTCTGGCTGCTCTTCTTCCAAAACGGATCTATTGGTTCTTTTGGCAGCCCATGGCGCATTTAGTATTCTCCTCCAATACCACAAATTCAAAGGCATCAATTCTTCTACGGTCTTCATTATTCACTGTCCAGCTTTCGCATGCATATGAGGTTATTGAAAATACCATGGCTTGAGTCAGGCGCACCTTAGTCCTCAAGCTGACATCTTTTCTCTTCAACACTTCAAAAAGTTCCTGTGCAGCAGATTTGCCTAATGCAATAGGACATCTGATCTCTTGACTGCTGCTTCCATGAGTGTTGATAGTTGATCCAAGAAGAATGAAGTCCTTGACAACTTTAATCTTTTCTCTGTTGATAAGAATGTTGTTTATTGGTCCAGTGGTGAGGATTTTTGTTTTCTTGACATTGAGATGTAATCCATACCAAAGGCTGTGCTCTTTGATCTTCATCAGTAAATGTTTCAAGTCCTCTTCACTTTCAGCAAGCAAGGTTGTATCATGTGCATATCGCAGGTTGTTTATGAGTCTTCCTCCAATCCTGATGCCACGTTTTTCTTCATAGAACCCAGATTCTCAGATTATTTGCTCAGTATATAGGTTGAATAAGTGTGGTGAAAGAATACAACCTTGTTGCACACGTTTCTTAATTTTAAACCGTTCAGTGTTCCCATGTTCTGCTCGAACATCTGCCTCTTGGTCCAGGGACAGATTCCTCATGAGTACAATTAAGTGTTCTGGAATACTCATACTTCACAATGTTGTCCATAGCTTGTCATGATCCACACAATCAAAAGCCTTTGTGTAGTAAACAAAGCACAGGTAAACATCTTTCTGATATTCTCTGCTTTCAGCCAAGATCCATTAGATATCGGCAATGATATCTCTCCTTCCACTGCCTCTTCTGAATATGGCTTGAACCTCTGGAAGTTCTCTGTCAACGTATAATTGTAGCCAATTCTCTATTACCTTTAGTAAAACTTTACTCACTTGAGATGTCAAATATATTGTCCGATAATTTCCGCCTTCCATTAGGTCACCTCTCTTTGGAATGGGCACAAATATGGATCACTTCCAATCCGTCAGCCAAATAATTGTCTTCCAAATTTCTTGGCAAAGATGAGTGAGTGCCTCCTGTGCTGCCTCACTTTCTTGAAAGATTTCAATTTTTATTCCATCAATTCCTGGTGCCTTGTTCTTTGCCAATTCCTTCAATGCACCTTGGACTTCCTCCTTAAGTATCACTGGCTCTTGATCATATGCTACCTCTTGAAATGGTTGAACATTAACCATTTCCTTTTGGTACAGTGACTCTGTGTATTCCTTCCATCTTCTCTTGATGCTTTCTGCACCACTCAATAATTTGCCCAGAGAATCTTTCGATAACAAAACTCGAAGCTTGAATTTTTTCTTCAGTTCCCCCAGCTTGAGAAATGTTGAGCATGTTCTTCCTTTTTGGTTTTCTGATTCCAGATCTTTGCACATTTTGTTGTAATATTTGGCTTTTTCTTCTGGAGCTGATCTTTGAAATTTTCTGTTCAGATCTTGGACCTCCTCATTTCTCTCATTTGCTTTAACATCTCTATGCTGGAGAGCAAGTTTCAGAGTCCTTTCTGACATCCATTTTGACCTTTTCCTTCTTTCTTGTCTTCTTAATGACTTTTTGCTTTCTTCATGTATGATGTTCTTGATGTCATCCCACAACTCTTCTGGTCTTCTTTCTTTAGTGTTTAATGTATCAAATATGTCCTTCAGATGATCTCTAAATTCAGGTGGGATATATTCAAGGACATATTTTGGCTCTCATAGACTTGTTTTCATTTTCTTCAGCTTCAGTTTGAATTTGTGTATGAGTAATTGATGGTTTGTTCCACAGTCTGCCCCTGGCTTTGTTTTCACTGATGATATTGAGCTTTTCCATCTTCTATTTCCACAGATGTAGTCAATTTGATTTCTATGTATTCCATCTGGCAAGGTCCATGTGTATAGTTGTCTGTTATGCTGTCTAAAGAAGGTATTTGAAATGAACAAATCATTGGTTTTGCAGAATTCTATCATGCGTTCTTCAGCATCATTTCTATCACTAAGGCCATGTTTTCCAACTACTGGTCCTTCCTCTTTGCTCCCAACCTTTGCATTCCAATCACCTATAATGAGCAATACATCTTGATTGCATGTTTGATCATTTTCAGATTGAACCACAAGGTAGGCTATTCAAACTCACTAGTCACCCTCGGAAATTCTATATGGGGTCACTATGAGTCGGAACTGACTCAGTGGCACTAAACAACAACGTATCTCTATATAATACACACAGAGAAGCAGAAAGTCAGTGGGGTGGGGAATTCAGAGAGAGAAACACATAATGAGTAAGAGTCCAAACAGACTGAGTGACAGATTGGGACCCTGGTGGGGAAACACACACACACACACACCAAGATAGAAAAAATAAACAGTAACAGGAAAGCACAAGGAAAAATGCAGAATACACAGAGAGGGAGAAAGAGACAGAAACAGGAACAGTGTGGAGATACGTGGAACATGTTAGAGAGACATAGCAGGCACCTCCCCAGCACTGCTGAGCTTAGCTCCCTCTGCCCTTGTGAGCACAGATTGTGGTGGTTGGTGGCCTTGGGCAGCTGCATCACTGCCCAGGATAGGAAAGCAGGCTCAGAGACCAAAAGAAGACACAGTGTCACACTGGGCAGTTACAGACCTGTGAGGTCACAGTCTGCACAGTAATTAGGTGGCCCTGCATCACTTGTTCAGATCAGTTAAATATGCTTTCAGGGTCTAAATGTATTTAAAAATTTTTTTTTTTGTTTGGGCTACAGAAAGGTACTGAAGGAAATCTCTGTCGGAGAACTCAAACCAAATGAAACAGTGCAGGCTAATTTGGAAGCCCAGCTCCTGTCCAAGCTGGACCACCCAGCCATTGTCAAGTTCCATGCCAGCTTTGTGGAGCAAGATCATTTCTGCATCATCACAGAGTACTGTGAGGTAAGACTCTCCATCTGACTTGTAAATCTTAATGAAAAGTTGTCCCCCATCAAAATGCATCTGTAAAGAAACATCTGAAAAGTTAGATAATCAAGCCCAAAGCTGAGTCATAAGAATCTGGGATTTTGTATCTAAGAATAATCATCTCTGTGTAACTGGAAAGTTTATTTCTAAAGAAATGTCCTCCCCTCCTCTCCTCCCTCCACCCCCAACACACACACTTTGGAAAACTCAGTAATAAGTGAATATATCTTTAAAAAATTGTTGTAGAACAAGGCTTCAGCTTTTTTTTTTGGATCCCCAAGCCTCCTCCAATGGCCCAGTGCTATAGCAGAGGCATGTGAGCCGAGGAATGGTATGACAGAATAAGCACTGGACTGGTAGCCATCTAGTTAGCAGTTCAGATCCGCCAGCTGCTCATGGAATCCCTCTTCAGAATTGCTATGAGATGAAACAAACTTAATGGCACACAACAACAGTAATAGCAGACGTGTGAGGAAGCAGAGGCCTAGCTGAGTTCTGGGGTCCAGCTCAATTATTCTCTTAACCTGTATGGAAGATCTGCATGTTTATTGATTTGTGATTCACGGATTCAGATATTTGTAATTTACCTTGCTATTCCATGTTCTCTCCAAGTGATGTCTATGCATTTTACTGAGCCTCAAGTGAGCATGAAGCTGCTTGGAAAGGTGAAAGAGGGGAGAATAGGCGATGTGGAGCTAGTACGTATCTGGGCATTTTCTTCTCAGAAACTAAGTAGAAGTGAGTTACAGAGAATACCTAAAAATAACCTTGCTCAGAGAATACCTCCTAGAACAGCTGAGAACCAAAGGACCTTGAGAGAATTTGGTTTTATTCATAATTTAAAATGAGTTAAGTCAGCTCATCACCTGAACATTGCTGGGGCCCCAAAGAAATGAAAGCGGGGAGAAACAAGCTGCTTTTAAAGAGTGGACGGTGGGCCTGTTGGGCTCAGAAAGTTTGGAAACTAGATACCACCTGAGATGCTGTGTATATGAGGGGCAGAAAAGAAGAGGCAGAAGAAAGGAAAGCAGTTTGCCAGGAATAGGGAATGCAGCAAAGACTCACCTTGCCTGCTTTGCTGATTAGCTGACAAAAGAAAACCAAAAGTCAAGTTAAAGTATCTGAATGAGTTTGAATTATTGCAAGTTTTGGCCACTGCCTTTCAGCTTCGTTTCCTCAGTTCAGCATCACCATTTGTCTATCCTCTGTTTGGAGGAAAGTCAGGGGAGGGGAGGGAGGCTGCTAAACAAAACCCAGGTTATCTGGATGTCTACTTCTCTCTGTATCCAATGAATTGTTAAGAAAATCAATGAGATGTTGAGGTACACGAAGTGGTGATATTGAATACCTGCTTTGCCAATAATCCATGCAGGATGACAGCATGTGTAGCTACACTGTGATCCATCTGTTATAATTGAATCATTTTTCTTCCTTTATTCCCTTTGGTTAATTATCTTATTTCTGAAACAACTCACTCCTTCTGCTTTTACTACTATCCAGCTGCTGTTTTTGACATGCTGAATTTTCCACAGGCTCTTTCTTGCTCTTAACCGATTTTAAACAGTAATCAGAGCTGTCCAATACAAGTTTCTGTGATGATGGAGGTGGTCTATATCAGTGCTCGTCAGTGGTAAGCACTGCACTGCTAACCACAGGGTTGGCAGTTCAAGTCTACCAACTGCTCTATGGTAGAAAGATGAGGCTTTCTGCTCCCATAAAGATTTAAAGCCTCAGAAACTCTATACAGGGTCTGTATGAATTGGAACCAACTTATTAGCATCTAACAATGGAGTCCTGGCATGGTGCTGTAGAATCAGCACTGGATTATTAACCACAAGGTTGATGGTTCAAATGTTCCATCTGCTCCTTAAGGAGTCCTGGTGTGGCACTGTAGGATAAGCACTGGACTGAAAGGTTGGTTTGAACCACAAGGTTGGTGGTTCAAATCACCAGCTGCTCCTCAGAAACATTACAGAGGGTTGCTGTGAGTTAGAACTGACTACACGACACTTAACAACAGCAATCTGCTCCTTGGAAATCCTATATAGGATGGCTGTGAATCAGTGGTGCTTAACTACAGCAACAGTCACAATAATCCAGAAAGAATTGGCCAACATTCATCCATTTCAAGAGGTAATGCATGATTTAGAACCAATGGTACCAAAGGTGAAAGTCCAAGCTGCACTGAAGGCATTGGCCAAAAATAAGGCTCCAGGAATTGATGGAATGCAAATTGAAATGTTGTAACAATCTGATGCAGCACTGTAGGGGAGTCCTCACTCATCAACCTCAAGAAATATGGAAGACAGTGATTGGTATTTGTGCCTGTTCCAGAGAAAGGTGATTCTACAGAATGTACAAATGATCAAACAGTATCGTTCATATCACATGCAAGTAGAATTTAGCTGAAGACATTTCAAAAATAGTTGCAACAGCACACTGAAAGGGAGCTGCCAGAAATTCAAGCCAGATTCCATAGAGGATGTGGAATGAGGGATATCATTGCAGATGTCAGAAGGATCTTGGCTAAAAGTAGAAAGTACCAGGACACATTTGACTTTGTGGATCATAACCAATTATGGATTACATTGCAAAGAATGGGAATTCTAGAACTTTTAATTGTGCTCATGAGAAACCTGTACATAGACCAAAAGACAGCCATTCAAGCAGAACAAGGCATGGCTTAAAATCAAGAAAGTTGTGTATCAGGGTTGCATCCTTTCACCATACTTACTTTATCTGTATGTTGAGCACAAAATCTATGAAGCTGGGCTATGTGAAGAATAAGCAGGCATCTGGATTGAAGGGAGACTTATTAACAACCTGTGAAATGCAGATGACGCAACCTTACTTGCTGAATATAAAGAGGACTTGAAACATTTACTGACAAAGATCAAAGATTACAGCCTTCAATATGGATTACAACTCAACATAAAGAAAACATCTTCCTCACAAGTGAACCAGTAAACAATTTACAATAAATGGAGAAAAGATAGAAATCACCAGAGATTTCTAATTTTACTTGGATCCACAATCAAGTACCATGGCAGAAACAGGAAAGAAATGATGTATTGCGTTGAGCAATTCTGCTGCAAAAGATCTCTTAAAAGCATTAAAAGCAAAGGTACACTTTTGAAGACTAAAGTACGCTTGACCTAGCCACCCAAGGAACCTTGGTGGCACAGTGTATTAAGCACTGGGCCACTAACTATAAAGTCAGCAGTTCAAAGCCACTAGCTGCTTTCCAGGAGAAAGATGAGGCTATCTGCTCCCATAATGATTTACAGTATCAGAAACTCTGTGGAATAGTTCTACTGTGTTCTATAGGGTCACTAAGAGTGCCTCACCCAAGTCATGGCATTTTCAAAACCTCATATGCAAGCAAAAGTTGGACAATGAATAAGGGAGACCAAAGAGGAATTGATGCCTTTGGATTATGGTGTTGGTGAAGAATAGTAAATGGCCTGCCAGAAGAAGGAACAAATCTCTTTTGAAAAAAGTATTGCCAGAATAATCCTTAGACATGAGGGTGGTAAGACTTTGTCCTATGTACTTTGAACATGTTATCAGGAGGGGCTAGTCCCTGAAGAAAGACCCGATCACAGAGAACACAGTCTAAGACAGACGGCATGCTGGGTAAAGTAGAGGGTCAGCAAAAAAGAAGACCCCCAGTGAGATAGATTAGCACAGTGGGCTCAAGTGTAACAACAATTGTGAGGATGGTGTAGGACCAGGCAGTGTTTCTATCTGTTGTACATGGGGTCACTATGATTTGGGACTGACTTGTTGGCACCTAACAGCGTAACATAGAACAGTCACACCTGACTCCTGAATACTGGTATGGAGTGAGACTGACAGACTGGGTATTTGTTTATTTCATTAAAATTCAGATGACCATATGTTGCTAGTGGTTGCCATATTGGACAGTACTTTAGGTTTTTAACTTTTGAATTTTAAGATAATTTTAAGCTATCAGAGAAGTTATAAGAATAGAATAATGGACACCCATATGCCCTTCATCCAGATTCCCCTGTTGTTGACATTTTGCTACATTTGCTTTATGTTTTGATTCATCTATCTTTCATGCATTTTGTTCCCTTGAACTCTTTGAGAGTGAGTTACACACATGATGTGGCTTTGCTTCTAAATCCTTGAGTGACTATTTTCTATGACGCAGGTCATTCTCTTGTATAACCATAGTATAATAGAAATTAGCCTTGAGACCATGTTCTTATGTAGTAGCTCTCAAAATGGGGTCCTAGACAAGCAGCATCGCTTAGGAACTTTCTAGAATTATATTCTCAGGCCCTGTTCCAGAGACACTCAATCAGAAATTCTAGTGGTGAGGTCCAGCAATTGTGTTTTGACCAGTCCCTCCAGGGAATTCTGATGCTCACTCAGATCTGAGAGCCACTCGTCAAATAACCCACAGGTCAAATCGAAATGTCTTCACTTGTCTCAATGAGGTTCTTAGAAAGGATGTTTCCGTAAGAATGCTCTTGCCACTGCAGGACCTAACCCAGGATTGTGTGCGTTAATTTTTAAGTGATGGGTGTTTTCCAGGGGCTGAGCTGCCCTCCAGGGACCTGGCGTTACCATGGTGACAGCTGCCCGCCAGCCTTAGCACAGCAGCGGGACTCCCTGGGCTCTGAGGCAGCTGAGCTGTCAGGTTGCCTTTTCCCTGGCTGCAGCTCAATGATGTGTGAAGATTGCTCCGTTCTCAGTAACAGAGATGTTTCTCATCTTCAGACCCAAATTTAGTCTTAACTCACAACAGGCCTGGCATTGTTTCCTTTTATTAGAGGAAAACAATACTTCTGAAATTGTGTTATTATTTTAATGTCCTTGTTCCTTCTTCTGTAATTTAATTCAGGGCTTTGCAAGATTGAAATCTATGAATGCACTCATGAGGTTGTTGTAGCCGCTACCCAACCCTTTTGGACACAACACATCAGATTGTGAGTGTAAAAAGCAAG